AAACTACAAAATGTATGATCCAATTACAATATCAAGAAATGTTATTTTCAATGAACATAAAAGTCCTGAAATAAATAAGAATGAAGCTGAAATTTTAATATATGATGATAATGAACAAAATGTTGAAGAGGAGTTGGATAATACAGAGTTGACTGAGAGTGATGAAAGTACACATACTGCCATTGATGAAAATGATGAGACTTATGAACCTTCGCAGGAAATTGAACTTTCAGATTTGGATCATTCAAATATTACTTTGCGTCCGCGTAGACATAATGTTTTTGAGGCAAATTTAATGGAACTGAATGTACCTGCAAGTTACAATGAAGCAATTAACTGCGAAGAGAGTGAGTTGTGGCTAGAGGCCATTAATGAAGAATTAGAAGCTCATCGCACTAATAACACTTGGAGTTTTGTGGATAATGAAAACCAAAGAACTATAACATCAAAATGGGTATTTAATATTAAAAGAAACAAAGATGGTAAAGTAGAAAGATATAAAGCTCGACTTTGTGCCCGTGGTTTCACTCAAATTGAAGGGATAGATTACAATGAAATTTTTTCACCTACTACAAGATATGAATCAATAAGAATACTGTTGTCCATCTCTGCTGAATATAATTGGAACTTAAGGCAATTAGATGTTAAGACAGCTTTTTTATATGGAGATTTAGAAGAGGATGTTTATATGGAAATTCCAGATGGAGTGAAAGCACCAGCAAATAAAATATGTAAATTAAATAAATCCCTGTATGGCCTGAAGCAGGCATCTCGTTGCTGGAATCAAAAATTTACAAATTTTCTAGTTAAGTTTGGTTTTGTTCAGTCACAAGCAGACAATTGTGTCTTTGTAGGCAATTTTAATGGTATTAAAGCTTTGCTAATATTATATGTAGACGATGCTTTAATAATGTCGCAGTCAAATTTTATATTAGATCAAGTTGTTGACTATTTAAAGCAAGGATTTGATATTAAAGAGTTAATTTTAAGTCGATTTGTTGGCTTAGAAATTTTAAAGGATAATAATTCTGTTTGTATTAGTCAAAGACAATATATTGAACAATTAATAAGTAAGTTTAATATGAGTACAGCATACTCAAGCAGTACACCAATTGATGTAAATGTTCAGTTAACTAAAAATGTTGACAATAAGCAGATTGATTTTCCTTATAGAGAGGCCATAGGGTCTTTATTGTTTTTATCAACAGCAACTAGACCAGATATTTCATATGGTGTAAATCTGTTAAGTAGATATATTAATAATCCTGGTATACATCATGTTAATCAGCTGAAGAGGATTATTAGGTATCTTATAAAAACTAAAAATTTGTGTATAAAGTATGTCATGAAAGTTTAATTGGATATTCAGATTCAGATTATGCTGGAGATTTAGATACAAGAAAATCAACCAGTGGCTATATTTTTATGTTGAATGGTGGACCTATTTCTTGGTCTAGTCAAAAACAACCTTGTGTAGCTTTATCAACAACTGAAGCTGAATTTGTGGCTGGTTGTGAAGCTGCTAAGAATCTTTTATGGTTAAGACTGTTTTTCAAAGAAATTGATCATCATCATCATCATCATCAGCCCTTTTCAGTCCACTGCTGGACATAGGCCTCTCCTATTGCACGCCACTGGGATCGATCTTCGGCCACTCGCATCCAGCTCCTGCCAGCCATCTTGCGCAAATCATCACTCCACCTTGCCTGAGGACGTCCTACATTACGTTTGCCGAGACGCGGTCTCCACTCAAGAACTCGTCTACTCCAACGGTCATCGGTTCTTCGGCTAATATGGCCAGCCCACTGCCATTTCAGCTTGCTAATCCGGTGGGCTATGTCGATTACCTTGGTTCTCTGCCGGATCACCTCGTTTCTGATTCGATCTCGCAGAGAAACGCCGAGCATAGCCCTCTCCATAGCTCGCTGAGTGACTTTTAGCTTGTGAACCAGCCGCACCGTCAGTGTCCACGTTTCGGCTCCGTATGTCATGACAGGTAGGACGCACTGATTGAAGACTTTCGTCTTTAGGCACTGTGGGATCGACGACGTGAAGACTTGACGCAGCTTTCCATATGCTGCCCAACCTAGCTGAATTCTTCTATTCACCTCGTTCTCGAAGTTGTTTCTACCCATCTGCAATGTCTGCCCGAGGTATACATATTTTTGAACGACTTCGAGAACAGCGCCGTGTACTGCAATCGGTTCCGGTAGTACATGTTCATTGAGCATGACCTTGGTTTTATCCAAGTTCATCCGTAGGCCGATGCGTATAGAAGAGTCAGCCAGGTCATTCAGCATCCGTTGTAGGTCCTGCAGCGTTTCTGCTACGATGACGATGTCGTCTGCAAATCGCAAGTGAGAGATGTACTCGCCATTTATGTTGATGCCGCGTCCTTTCCAGTTCAGCGTCTTGAACATATCCTCCATTGCATTTGTGAACAATTTCGGGGAGATAACATCCCCTTGTCTCACACCTCGATGCAACGGTATCGGCCTTGTTTGCTGATCCTGTACTTGGACGGACATGGTGGCGGCCTCGTAGAGACATCTCATCACTTGGATGTATCGCCAATCTACTTGGCATCGCTGCAGGGACTCCAGAACAGCCCAGATTTCGACCGAGTCAAAGGCTTTCTCATAGTCCACAAATGCTAGGCACAGGGGCTGATTATACTCCTCAGTCTTCTGTATAATCTGCCGCACTGTGTGGATGTGGTCTATGGTGAAGAAATTGATATAATTCAAGATTGTACAACTTTGTGTATGGATAATCAAAGTGCAATCAAACTGATAAATAATCCTGTCTATCATAAGAAGACAAAACACATTGATGTTAAATTTTATTTTATTAGGGATATAGTAAAAAAAAAGTTAATTAATATTAAGTACTTATGTGCAAAGTTCAGAGCAACTGGCTGATATTCTCACTAAAGCTCTATCTACTGGTAAATTTGAACATATAAGAGATGAAATATTGTCAGTTATCTAAGTTAAGTTTTTTTTAAGGCAGGCAATGTGATATATTTTAGTTTATAAAATTTAGTGGGAGTATTGGATGAAATTTTATAAAAGGAGTTTGAATATGTTTTATGGAAAAATAAAAACAAGACAAAGATGTTTATCTTTGTCTTGTTTTTATTTTTCCATTGTAACGCTAGGTGGCGGCATTGTGTGTGTGCATTCTGTATACGGCGACTGTCATGTCGTTGTAAAATTTTTCTTATAACTTTTATTAAAATAAAACGTTTAAGTTGTGTCAGAAATCTTGTTTATTAACCTGATTCAAACAAAGAGTGAGCTCACCGAAGGTGTAATCCATCTCTAATGCTTAAATCTCCCAATCCTTAAACCCCCAAAAGACCGACAATGGACTTTTAACTCCTCGGTTAGAGATTAGAGTTACTAGATGATGCCTGCCCGTTTGTCACCGCATACCATAAAAAAAAACTAACTGTATATTACTAAATGCCACTTCAGCGTGGGCAGCGGAGGCCTCGAAGATAGTCTAGAATGTCTAGATATGACAAGATAGTTAATAGATACTATTACAAATGTAGACACAGCATATTGACCGTCATAAATATAATCTCATTTGGAACGTGTAAAAATACATTCACCCCAAAACGGGATGATATGAGGGTCAACCTAATTTCGTTTAGGCTTAATTATGAAACTTGTCTAGTAAGCTGATTGCGTTGTTGTTTTGCTGGGTATTATATTTCTTTATTATATTAATGAAATTTTATTTTATTTATTAATTATCTCTCTAAGTAATATTTTAGAGAACTGACCATTTTGAGAATTTGGAAAAGTAGTGAAATTCACACTAGTGAAATTGGTACTTCTATGTATGACTTGAACAGCTATGTCAAGTTGGTAAGTTACTCAAAGGAAATCTGTTTCCATACGACAAAACTAATCCCTGATGTCGCTTAGATAGTTAAAAAATGTGAAGTAAAGCTTTTCCCGCTTGTAAAGCATACCCAAAACTTTAACTGAGCAGTCATAGTCCCGGTTGTAACCATTCGATCAGTAAAACGAAAATTATACAAATTAGATATTCCTTTTGACGAAATGTCATATACATGTCATGCGAATTCAAGTGAACCACGAAACCACAGAGACAATTACTTAACCATATTGGATTATTAGTTTAATGAACATCGCGGCAGTTAAGGGTTACCTTAAACCGATTCCAGTTAACTGCACTAAGTGTAGTTGATGAAACAAGTAAGCGGGTTAGTAGCAATTTACTGGATTGAGTTTAAGGCTTTAAGTACGATGTAAATCTAATGTATGGTACTGCTGACGACAGAACTAGGTCAGCACTGTGTTTGAATTAACTTGACAATTATTACTTGTTTGTTACGAATTCATCGTTTTGAGGAAGATCGTGTTTTGTTGACAATGTTATGTAGTAATGTTGTTTGTTGTTGATTTTCACGAATTGTTTTCGTGATAAGAAATTGTTTGGTGTATCCACTGTTTTGAACTTGTTTATTAGCGTAGCGTATGTAGCTGTCTGTTTTTGTTTTTTTCTAAGAACTGTTTATTGGTCATCCAACTTTTCGTTGTTATTATTTTCCCACAATTTTTTAAACAATCAAGTTTTATATGTCTCAGTTGTCTTAGACATGTAAAAGATTATTTCCTGCCTTGCTAATGTTGAGGATCGATGTGTAATGTATAATCTTAAACTATGGTTATGAGCGTTTAAAGGAAGTACTTTAACATGATGCAATAACACTGACTAGTATACTTTCAGGACAATCGTTTATAGCCGTAACATTCCCTTACATGACGTGCCAATGACAATGGAACAAAGCATCTAGTCGATTCACGCGAAATGCTCCAACTACGATCCAATAAATTAAACATCATTGTTTGTGTTCTCCGATCTGGCCCCGACCTTACATCTGCTCTCGTATTACTCACACTCAATTATGATAACAATTTTATTATGATCAGTGACTCATTATGCCCATTTTCTATTTCCAGGTCACCAGTACGCCTGCCCAGCCTTAGTCTGTATTCATCACTGCCAACTATTCCGCCCTACAGCGCGCTTAATGCCGCCATGCTAGACAAGATTTATATTAATTATAATAAGGAAGCTCAAGGGTATAGAAAATTTGAGAGGTACTGGCGCACGTGACGTCGACGGGAGCGCAAGGAGGGCGACATGAGCCAGTCGCAGGACGAGGCCCGCGCGGCCAGGATACAGAAGTATAAGGAGGAGAGAAGAAAACAGCTGACGGCTAGAACAGCGACGCTATTTTCTGCCAACGTCACTGAGAGGTGAGTTTCTTATTGTCATCTTTGATATTGGTTTTTATTATAACTGAAATAAATATTTTTGTCGGTTTGAAAATGTTTTTTACTAATTTATTTTGTTGTTAATTCCAGGCGCACGAAAAAATCAGCTGAACTGATACCCTCAGATGATGTTGGTGCTCATCTCAAGTCTTCCTCGGAGCTAAATCTTAACACAGCTTCAACTTCAGTGCCTATTAGAACAACGCGTACCTCACGTCTTAGAGCTGCCGCCGCCAACCTTTCCGATACCTCGCCGTCTCCAAGAAAATCTAATAGAAGTTCATCTGTCCAATCATTACTTGAAGACGCCAAAACCAGATCACCCAAAAATTCCAAGTTACTAGATAGAGATAAACGAACGAATAGAAGACAAAGCAATGAAAAAGAAAACTTTAAGAGCTCGTCTTCGACGCGCTCGGATAAAGATTATGGTGCTATTAAGACGAAATCGAAACATTCCATTAATAAAAATAATTTAGAAAAAGACAAAAATAATTTTATAGTGACTAGTCCTAAAGGAAAGAATGTCGATGAGAAGCGCAGTTCTAAATTAGATGAAAGTAGAAACACGAATTCCATAAACGAAGAAAAGAAAACGAATAGTGAGATAAACGAAAGAAAACACGAAAAACCGTTACGAGTCAATAGTGAGGAGTTTTTTAACGATATTGTAAACGATAAAGACATGTCTAATGGTATAGATGAAGATAAAATCGACGATTTGTTTAATAATCTTGTTGTTGCTGATGTTGAAGTCCAAAATGGCATCAGGTTTGACAAGATAGATCAGATTCTGGAGAGTGATGGGCTCAAATATAGTCACAATAGTTGTATTCCTGCCGCTGATAAAGCAATAGAACTTAATGTTGATTATGTAGAAGATAGTGTAGTGCCAAAAGTGAAAGAGGACGTTGGAGGCTTGCTAGGGGCCGTGTGTGTGCGCAAAGTGGAAAGGTTCAGTGAATTGCTCAGCAACTTGTGTTCGCCATGCGAGGCGGACATATTGTTCGAAGATATCTTGGTGGAAAATGGAATCGATGGTGATAAACAAGTGGTAAGTTGAAGTTCGTACATTAGAGTAACAATGAACGGCTTATTTTGAGGCGACGGTGACCTTTTTCTATATCATAACCTAGTTGATAGTATTCTTCATAATTTATTAGGTACTATAGTATTAAATCTGTACCTATTCCGTTCTTGTATAAAACTTATATCATCAATACATATAGAACTAGCTGTCGGTGTTTCTAGTGGATCTATTGTTTCTGCACCAGCTTCTATAAACACTCCAATTGTTTTTCTAAGTAATATTATATTAGTCATTTGGCTCTTATTATTTGCTGTTTTAATAATAACATTACTCAATGCCAATGTTTTATCATCGTTGTGTGCTTGAAACGTAAAATAGAGTAATGATGCCATCCGTTGAGAATTGATCGCGTGCGAAATTTACTTTATTCATTCGTTTTGTTGTCGTTTATCTGTCTTATATCAATTATTACTGTATTTATGTCGCAGTGTCAATAACCTAAGCACCAATGCGTTGTTTGTTATATCCTCCTTATTATGTAAAGAAAGTCTAGTAAAGAATCAACATATTATGTGTTGATAAATTGTGCCATATGCACTTATGTGCACGACACAGTAAAAATCCTAATATGGGTGAAGTTTTTACAAGTTTTTACAAGTGAAGGTCCAATCCTTCACTAACTATCCAAAAGAGGCTGGTAACGCAATTGGGTTTCTTAGGCCAAAAATAAATTAATTTGACGTTTCAATACAATGAAATATCGAAAAATAACTATACTTTTATTCATCGATCGATTGATATAATGACGTCATAAATCAGTTTTTCATACTTTCATAGAAATGTGTCCTTTTGGACATTTGGATAAAAGTATTGAATTTGACTAGTTGTAGTCATGGATCATGGATAATAGTAACTCCTTTGGTGTTACGATTATCCATGGGCGGTGCCCTTTGTTTACCATCCGGTAATCCTTACTCGTTTGCCGAACTGTGACATCATAAATGTGGATATCTTTCTTGGAAATCTTGTGGTTTAATCGTAATTTGACGCATTTAATATTCTTTTCTGTCCTAGTTATACATACTCAAATCTATCTGCGTATCTGTAAAAACCATCTTAAAGAAAATTTAACATAATTCTTTTGATTTAATTTTATTCATATATAATTCAAACGTCAAAGGTAAAAACACATGTCAGAATATGATTGAAATTAATTTCATTTGATTGCCGAAATATAAAGATTATACTCTCGACAGCTACTGTCTGTAACAAGTTTCTAGTCTTAATTTATAGTATTCTCAACTCACATACCTACATTTACTTTCTCTAACAACAAGTTTATCTTGATTCCAAGTTGATTACTTGGCGTACCTACTATTTAATTAAATTCAGACCTAAGTATTTTTGTTTTAATCTTACATTTTTGCTTTATTTTTTATTGGTAATTTGATTTTGTTGTTAACTTATTTAGGTTTAGTTTGGCTTAAAAGACTTGAGAAACATACTCCTTTTTTCGAGCTATACCATAATGAAATGTTTTCTCCAACCCTGTATCTGGGTGAAATGGAGTATCAGACTCTTACTAACTAAAAACCAGAAACCACCCCCCTTCTACTGCCGGGGTTGCGGGGTAAGCGCAATGAGGCACCGCGACCTCGGCACAGAGCAGGAGAAGGAACAGGGGAGTTTTAGTCAGTAAGAGTCTGACACTCCCTCCCGCCCAGCCCTGGGCGGGAGAAGTCATTTCATGATTTTCCCCTCACAAAAAAACCCCTTCTACTCCTGCTTTGAGCTGGGCTGTTTTACATAATTTCTTTGTTATCAATAAGTCGTTGTGTAGCTAGTTGGTTTGCCCTCAGTTGTTGTCCCGTGCTGGAATCGAATCCGCGACACGCTGCGCGACAGCCAGTTGCCCAGCCACCGCACCAACCGTGCAGTAAACGTTGGTTGTAGCGCATGTTGTTCATGTTTATAGGACCCCGGTGCGGCTTGAGACTAGTCGATCTGACACGTAAATGAACCGTTTTTTTTCAGACGATTTTTTTTACTTAAGTTCACGTTTATCTTGCGCTGTGTCCTTTGTAATTACTAAGCAGCGCCATATCACAGGCCATATGTACTGTGTTACCTATCTACCTATATATGTAGTTACTTCGATAAAATACTAAGTGTTAGTCATTGTAAAGGTTGCACGTGCAGTATTTAATATTAATTCATTGTTCTTACAATTGTTTACCACAAAAACCGCCATACAATTATTAAGTATTTTTTTTTTTAGAGCACACGGTGATTATTCTTCCTTTATTAATTGACTAGTCTAGTAGGCTAGAAGCCTTAAAAGGTGAACAAATAAAATGTGATTTTGCAATTTTATACTTTACAGTAAGGATAGTAAAGATTAAATTTTTAAATAAGCCGTAGGTAAGACAAATGCATCGAAATTATCTTGTCATAAAATAAATTACTTTCTTCAGAAACTTAACAGTTTCCATTCGATTGGCATTTTATTCTACATAACTATCTTTTTGTAACGCTTGTTGTAAATATTTTTAGATATTTAATTAAGAAATTTTAGCTTCATTCGGAATTTTAATTCTAATGACAACAAAAACATTCAGCTAACACAATTCGCTGTAATAAAAACATGTCTAGACTTGACGAGACCAATTATAAAAACAGAATCAGTAATTTTAATAAATAACCCGAGTATTCAATTAAAAACCGCACCTATAGTAGTATTCACGTTAAAAATATAATATCATTCACCTTTTGTTGAAATACATGGTGAATATATATATTTTTTTAAATCTAAGATTTTTATTTAATTAACCGACTTCCAAAAAAGGAGGAGGTTCTCAATTCGACCGTATATATGCTTTTTTTTTATAAACAAGTCGTCAAACCTCTTGAGCATATCACTATCTTTTGTAACCATTCATTTTCTTAATAAAACGTGGGTAAATAACAGATATACATATAAATCACACATAATTACCCCAGTGTTTTTCTTGATTGATTTCTATTATGTAGTAGATAGTCACGTTATTTTTTATTTTTTAAATGTTTTTTCTGACGATGATACTTTAAGATAAATAATTATTGTTTATGCACACTTTTTGGCACTGCCTCTTTTCAGGATTTTCTCCTGTGCCCTAGGTGACACAATGATATTCCGTGCAGGAATCAAAACCAGCCGGTTGACCATCCATCGCGCCAACTATGCAACTGTTCGTCAAGAAGACCTTAGAGTCTTCTAGGGTAGAAGTCTTGTAAGTCAATACTTGGTAATGGTACCAAGTGGCTTATAAGATTGAGTTGCAGATGTTCTTCTCCACTATCGTAATTTTGAATTATGGATCAAGGAATGCCATACGATTCAATAGTTCAATCATTCGAATGTACTTCGAAATCGATAGATGTATTTGTAAGATCAAGAATTTACTTCGAATTGTTTGTATTATGGACAAAATGTCGTGTATGTAGTAGTGGCCTGGAGGTTAAGGGCCCGCTTCTCATGTATGAAGGTTCGGGTTCGAAATCCGGCAAGTATCAATCGGACTTTTTCCGAGTTATATGTACTTTCTATGATTATTTAAACACCACTGACAAACGGTGAAGGAAAACATCGTAAGGAAAACTGGACTTGTAATTTCTAATTATAATTTTGAAATCGCCAAACCGCCTTGAGCAAGCGTGGTGATTATGCTCAACCCTTATCCGTGCGAGAACAGAGCTTTGTTGAGCTCAGCTCACTTACAGGATGGTGTGAAAACGTTAATTTCCTTCATAGTGAAACTAACAGGTGTAAAAAAGGCAGTTCCTAGAATTACAGTAGTTATTGAAAAACTAAGCTCTGTTGAGTAAGAAGTCGCATATGTTACAGTAACTTTATACATTTTTGATACCTTGATGATTTTGTTGTCGCACATATCGCGTCTCGATTTAACTTTGTAATGGGGTCAAGTAGGGTAAAACCGGGATAGTTGCCCCACTTTTTGAAAAGGCTCTCTAATTTTCAAACTGTACGTGATCCATGAAGAATTTCCATGAATGTTAAAAGTTTGATCTTTTTACTAGCAATACGACTCGTTTTTGTTGATTTAACAATAACAGATTCTGCATAAATTAAGTTTTTGCAAACCCATTTTTTTGAGGATAGATGCCTACATATATGGATAGATGCCTCACTATGAAAATGCTGGGGAGGATAGATGCCTGTGATGTAGGATAGATGCCATATAGATTGAAATAAGTAAAATACATAGTTTTGTTATGTTATTTATTTGTACTATTTAGGTAATTGTTATAATGGTATACTTAATCACTTGTTTAAGAAATAAAAAAAACAAAATTTTGTTTTTTTTTATTTTTTTATTTTAAAATAAAATTTAAAATACTTAATAAAAAACTGAGATCTATTATTTTCAATTATCAACATAATTAAATTTAAAAAAATCAACATAATTAAATTTTGTCCTTAATTTAGGGCGAATTAGAAAGAGCTTTCAGTTTGCCACATCTTGAGCAATAATTTCTAAACAGTGTACAAATTTCGTGCAGCCACTTCTGGCACGATAAGCACCGAATCCAATCAGATTTTGACTTTGTATGTTGATAGCTATCAAAGCATTCTACGCAATAATAGTTGTCGTCTGTTTCTTTTGGGATTTCTTGGTTATCCCTCTTTGTTTTCTTTACAGGCAAACCTTGAGTTTTTTTCCTCTAGTTTTATAATATGTTGTTGTGGGTGTTTCTTCCAAGAAACTATTCGGGGTCGTACTCCTTCTTTTCTTTTATATTTTCGTATGGTTCATCTGTGATTAGTAGAAACAAATAAAAAATACACATTCAATACACAACATAATACTTGAAATAATTAAATTTTCAACTCAATGGTGGTTTACAGCGCCAAAGAACATTACAAACCATCAGTAGAGATCTATATGAAAACGCAATAACAATTAAATAAAAATAATAATTTTAAACATATGCTATCATAATATGTATACGTTATGGGGATAGAT